ATTTATTTTGAGACAGAGTCTCACTGTTGCCCAGTGCAATGGCGTGATCTTGGCTCACTGCAACCTCCGCTTCCCAGGCTCAAGCGATCTTCCCACCTCAGCCTCCCAAGCAGCTTGGATTACAGTGTGCACCACTATGCCTAGCTAACTTTTTTTTTTTTTTTTTTTTTTTTTTTTTTTTTTTTTGAGACAGAGTTTTGCTCTTGTTGCCCAGGCTGGAGTGCAATGGCGCGATCTCAGCTCACTGCAACCTCTGCCTCCCAGGTTCAAATGATTCCCCTGCCTCAGCCTCCCGAGTAGCCGGGATTACAGGCATGCGCCACCACACCCGGCTACTTTTTTGTATTTTTAGTAGAGACGGGGTTTCACCATGTCAGCCAGGCTGGTCTCGAACTCTCGACCAGGTGATCCCCCTGCCTCAGCCTCCCAAAGTGCTGGGATTACAGGCGTGAGCCACCACACCTGGCCCTAGATAACTTTTTGTATTTTTGGTAGAGACAGAGTTTCACCATGTTGCCCAGGCTGGTCTCAAACTCCTGATCTCAGGCAATCTACCCACCTCAGCTTCCCAAAGTAATGGGATTACAAGTGTGAACCACCCTGTCCAGCCAAAACAACACAATTTAGTACCAAATGTTTAACAAGCACCTATTTTAATTGCTAAAATCTGTGAAATAAGTATTATTTGTATTTGACCTGCTATACAAAACTCCTCAATTTTTCTTTTGACAAAAGGTAGTAGAAATCCCAAATAAATAAGAGACTACTCATTAAAGGTCATGTTTACTAATCTAGCACCGTAATTCCAGTCTTAGAACCTCCCACTCAGCTGGAAGAAGGAGATAGCAAGAGGTGAGATATCAGAAACCTAATGATAGTTCTCAACTTGGGGCCTCATTTTGCTTCCTCTAAGGCAAAAAACACAGGGTCTAGCAAGGAAGAAAATCACTGAGGCTGGAGATAAAAACAAAAGACTTTGGTTGAGATGGTAAAGGAGGCCCTCAAGAGTGGTGGAATCAGTATATCCAGAAGGCAGTGCTAGAGTCGGCCTCATCGACTAGGGGGTTTCTTTCTTCCTGGCTTCAAGTCCTTTTTTTTTTAGCCAGGTTTGGTACATCATAGTTCTGAGCCAGATACATTCCAACCACGTTGGCCAAAGTGAATCCAAGTAGGAACTGGAGCATGATTGTTAGCAGGGAGGTTAGGGAGGCCATGAAGGGTGGCTGCAGCTCTGCAGGCTGGTCCGAGCCTCCATTCGGTAAGTTTGAACATGTTTACACCCGTGCAGCTATTACTACAATCGATATGACAGACATCTCCAGCACTCCCAACAGTTTTCTTGTGCTTCTTTGTAATCCATTCCTCCTTCCTTCTACCCCAATCCTCAGCAACCACTGATCTGCTTTCTGTCAATAGAGATTCCTTTACATTTTGTAGTCTTATATAAATCAAATTATATAGTATGAACTCTCTTTTGTCTGGATTTTTTCACTCAACATAATTATTGTGAGATTTATCCATGTTGTTGCACATACCAATAGTGAATTCCTTTTGATCGCTGAATACTACTCCATTGCATGGATATACCACCACATCTTTATCCATTCACTTATTGGTAGACCTTATGGTTGTTTCTAGCTTTGGGCTATTATAAATAAAGTTGCTATAAACATTTGTGTAGAAATCTTTGGGTGGACATGTTTTAATTTCCGTTGGGTAAATATCTAGGACTAGAATGTCTGGATCATATAATAGATACATGTTTATCTTTTGAAGGAGCTGCCAAACTGTTATCCAAATTGGTTTTATATTCATATCAGCAATATAACTGCTTCACCTCCTTGCCAACCTGGTGTGGTCAGTTTGGGTTTTGTTTTGTTTCGTTTCATTTTGTTTTTCAGCTATTCTAATGGATGCAGTAGTGGTACCTCATTGTGGTTTTAATCTGCATTTCCCTGATGACTTGACTAATGATGTTGAGTATCTTTTCATGTGCTTATCAGCCATTCATATATATATATATATAAAATCAGGGAAATGCAAATTAATATTATATCTATATATATATAAAATTTTTTTGGTGAATGTCTGTATAAATCTTAGCTTCTCTGAAACTGAGACGCATCTTACAATCGATGGCTTTTATAGCTAAACTGGCAAGGAGTGCTTTACCTTTTGTGGTACAACATAAAATATGATATACCTTACAATGGATGCAGATTTAGATTTATGAAATCCATAAGATTCAGATTTATGAAATATATAAAGTCACTTGCCTTGGGTCACACAGTGATGGAAAACAGTGTCAAACCCTGATCCTGTGTTTTTTTGTTTTTTTTGAGATGGAGTCTCACTCTGTTGCCCAAGCTGGAGTGCAGTGGCACGATCTCATCTCGCTGCAACCTCCACCTCCTGGGTTCAAGCAATTCTCATGCCTCAGCCTCCCAAGTAGCTGAGATTACAGGCACCTGCCACCATGCCCGGCTAATTTTTGTATTTTTAGCAGAGATGGGGGTTTCACCATGTTGGCCAGGCTGGTCTCAGACTCCTGACCTCAAGTGATCCGCCTTCCTCGGCCTCCCAAAGTGCTGGGGTTACAGGCATGAGCCACTGTGCCCAGCCAAGCCTGTGCTTTTAAATGTCGTATTATCCTGCATGGTTAGAAGAATCATGACCAAGTTTGTGGTCAGTGGGGAAAACTGTACTTCTGTGTTCTAAGTGCTATGTCAAAGAGTTCTAGAATGTCCAGGCTCCAGGCTTCCAGGTCTCAGCTGGCCTTGGTATCCCTCTGCACGGCAGATGTGTCCACTATGAGCCTTCAACTGGCAAGGACTTACCAAGAGCAACTATATGACAGGCTAGGGTGTGGAGCAGACAGGATGCAGTCTCTGGCCTGTAGGACTCAGAGTTCACAGAGGGAGACAAGAGAGACCCAGAGGACAGACACTTAGCAGAGGCTGGGAATGCTCCAGTGGCCACGGGCCCGAGCAGTCCTCCAGTGCTTTGTGACCTGGATAAAGAATTCAAAGTGGAGTGGTGCAGAGGTCCCAGGTTTTTTAAGCCCTGAGGCTCAATCCTGGCTCCATCCCTTATGAATTGTGTGACCTCAGGCACATGGCATGAGCCTCATTTTCCTCCTTGGTAAAATAGGGGGCAAATTATGCTATCACGAGTATTTTTATTCTTACTTTAGAGATGAGAAAACAGACTTAGAGATGATTAAATAACAAAATGTACGTAGAGCACTTGGCTCAAACACAGGGTCCTTGAACTTTAAAGGATAGCTAGGAATCAGGTTGGCAGGGAGGAGGAATGAGAGGATCCCAAGAAAGGAAACCTGTGTGATCCAAGGCAGGGAGTGTGGACACAGAGGGGAGTTGCCGAGGTAGGAAGAGTCTGCTGGAGTAGTGATTCCAGGGCCTCCTCCTCTGAAAGGCCTTTGCAGGGGCCTCCGGGAGCAGCTCCTGAATCCTGCCCAGTGTTCTATGTTGGGCCGAGAGCCAAGCAACTGGAGCTGCGTGGGGTAAGGAGGCCCAGAGGGCCAGACACTGCAAGCCAGACCCTGAAACTGGCCCAAACTTTGGTCTCAGCAGCTGTCATGGCCATGACAATGCTTGGCCCTCCAGGGTGGCATGGTGGGGATCCCTGTTGATGAGGTTGCCCACAAGACAGTGGTCCAGAGGTCCCCACATGCCTGCTCAGGTCCTGGCTACCCCCAGCCTGCTGTGGTTCCCATGGCTAGCCACTTCAACTCTCTGTGCCTCAGTTTCCCCATCTCTCAAATGGGAATGGGAAAACATGGCAGGCCTGCCTGCCTCCCCAACCCACAGAGCTGTGGTGGGGACTGAATGAGCTGCTAAAAGCGCGTGAATGGGCTTCAAAACCTGCCAGGTGTTAGGATGATGCAAATCCAGGGCAATCCAGGGAATAACAGAACTATCAACTGTTACACCTGGCAGGGACCCTAAAGAGATTTTACTGTGACACTGGCATTTTCCTGATGAAGAAATTGAGGCCCAGAGATCTGAAGTAGCTCACCTAGTGTCACACAGCTAGTAGGCCAGGATTCAACCCACGGTTTGACTAATGTAAGCCAGCTCTCACCTCTCTACCTCACAGGCCTGGGATCTCTGGGGTCCTTGGGCACAAGACAAAGTGAAAAATAAAATCAAGAGCCAAGATGGTCTCTCTTAAGAAACCTGGAAGCCACTGATTTCAGTACAAAGCTTGGACGTCTTTGAACATGCCTGGTCTCTTCAGACACAATTATGGGACCTCCCCGAGAAGCCTCCTTTGGCTTCAGAGTTCTTTCTGCAGCTGCTGCTCAAACTGTTCTTGCCTTATCTGTAAAATGGGCATAGAACACCTCAGGGGTTTGCATGGGCTGCCATATTGGTCAACCTTCTCCACAGGGCCAGGCGCAGTGGCTCACGCCTGTAATCCCAGCCCTCTGGAAGGCAAAGGTAGGAGGATCACTTGAGGTTAGGAGTTTGAGACCAGCCTGTGCAACATAGCAAGACCCCATTTCTAAAAAAACCCAAACATTTAATTAGCTGAGTATGGTGGCGCATACCTCTAGTCCTAACTACTTGAGAGGCTGAGGTGGGAGGATTGCTTGAGCTCAGGAATTTGAGGTTACTATGAGCTATGATCGGCCTGGGTAACAGAATAAGATCCTATCTCTGAAAAATAGAATAAAAAATAAGGCTGGGTGCAGTGGCTCACACCTGTAATCCCACCACTTTTAGAGTCCAAGGCGGGCGGATCACTTGAGGTCAGGAGTTCAAGACCAGCCTGGACAATATGGTGAAACCCTGTCTCTACTAAAAATACAAAAAAATGTAGCGGGGTGTGATGGCGTGTGCCTGTAATCGCAGCCACTTGGGAGGCTGAGGCAGGAGAATCACTTGAACCTGGGAGGCAGAGGTTGCAGTGAGCCAAGATTGCTCCACTGCACTCCAGCCTGGGCAACAGAGCAAGACTCCATCTCAAATAATAATAATAATAAATAAAAACTTTCTCTATAGGAAGGGAGATAATAGACATGAAAGTGCTTTAGAATGAAAAAACAATCATTGCTTACACAAAGCAACACAGGGTCTATTCCTATTGTGATATAATGGCTCCAAGGGTAGTCAGCCCTTGGGAGATTGCAAATATTGATGAACAAAGGGAAGAGCTTAAACATGACTACAGGAGATGCAACAGCTGAGGAACCTGGAACCTGGGCGGCCTCCCCAAGAGCACTCGGATATTCACAAGCTCTTAGAGGCTCTGGGCCACTTAGCATCAATTTTGCAGAGTCTTTTTAATTAAGGAAAACAGATGGGCACGGACGTGTAGATTCTTGACAGCTTTTGCCAAAGGAAAAACAGCTGTTTCTAGGACGTTTCACACCATTTTCCTCCCGTCCCAGGACCTCCTTCTGGTCAGTGCCTGGTGCTTTATTTCTTCTCCTTCTTTTTCTTCCTTCTTCTTTCTTCTTTCTTTCTTCCCCTTCCCCTTCTCCTCCTTCTTCTTCTCCTTTTCTTGGGGGTTGGGGGATGGCAAAATCTCCAATACGGGCAGCACAGAGGAGAATTTCACAGATTCAGCACATTCCCATCCCACTACTCAAAAATTCAGGTGCCTGATTTTCCCTTGTGACGTGCATCTTAATGGTGAGCACGAGGTACAGTGAGTGGTTTTGAAGGCAGGTTCCTTATCATGGAGCGTTATCTTCACCATCAAAGTACACTTGAAGAAAAAAGCAGTTTCAACATCAAACCTGAAGGTTTGACTGTTAAAAGGAAGAGCCGGGACAAAGCGACCACAGCTTTTATCACAAATTCATGAGGGCGGCGTGCGGTGGGAATACTACATTTTGGGCCTGCTGCTGAGAATGCCTCCATGGCCTTTGAACAAAAAACAAACCATGCTGTGGAAATTGCCGGTAATTGTCTTTACCTACGGTTTCAGAGGGCGCACACCGGGCCTTGTGGTTGTGGGTGCCGTTTCATGCTGGGGTTCGCGTCCCTCCTCTGTTTGGCATAAAGAGAGTGGAACAGATCAGGGCCTCAGATCTGTGTGCACCTGCGGTCGCTGCAAGGAAGAGAGGCGGATTGCTGAGATAAGGCAACAATGGAAAGTTTCTCACCTGAAAGGTCCGGGGAAGAGCCAGGAGGCCTGGGCGCTGGGGAGATTCATCTACCCCAGAAAAATAGGGAGTGGGGAGGAAGCCAGCCCACAGCCCAGCCCCCTCCACCCAGGAACCCCAACCCCACAAGCCTCACTTTCTCAAATGGTTTCTTCAACATCAACACCCAGGGATTCCTTGCACCCACCGAAAGGCAGTACTCGCCTTCATGTATCCATAGTTCTTCTGAAAAACAAAAAGAGCGGCCGGGCATGGTGGCTCACACTTGTAATCCCAGCACTTCGGGAGGCTGAGGCGGGCAGATCACCTGAGGTCAGGAGTTTAAGACCAGCCTGGCCAACATGGTGAAACCTCGTCTCTACTAAAAATACAAAAATTAGCTGGGCATGGTGGTGGGTGCCTGTAATCCCAGCTACTCAGGAGGCTGAGGCAAGAGAATGACTTGAACTCGGAAGGCGGAGGTTGCAGTGAGCCGAGATTGCTCCACTGCACTCCAGTCAGGGAGACACAGTGAGAGAGACTGTGTCTCAAAAACAAAACAAAACAAAACAAAAAAACAAGGAGCTCTGACAACGACTTGATGAGGGAAAAAGCAGAAAATCTCTGAGCAAGGGAACCCATCACCAGAGCCCCCAACGAAACCCATCACAGGTCCCAGTGCTGGGCTAGGCACAGGGCGGGCCAAGTGCTACTAAAAAGGGGCCCCCAAGGCCTGCTGAGCTTCCAAGCTCTCTGGGGGTCAGGAAGCCCCACTAGCCTGTGGCTCCATCAGTCAGGGCAGGCCTAGGCCTGAGCCAGGCTGGGAGAGACAGCTGGAGGGGGGCTGACCACAGGCATGGAGGAGTCAAGGGAGAGCATTCCAGGGGTACCAGCAGGCAAAAAAGAGAGAAGGAGGCAAACTGGGGAAGGTGCCAGGCTCAATCATTCAATGCCTCCGTTTTTGTTTTCTTAACCCTTTTTATTGTGAAAAGTAAAACACTCAGGAAAAGTACATAAAGCATAAATGTATAACTTAATGAATTATGACAAAGTGAACACTCATGTGGCCACCTCCAGGATCAAGAAATAGAGCATGGCCTATCCCCTGGAAATGTCCCACCTACATCTTTCCCCTCGCTCCTCACTGAAGGTTACCACTATTACCACTATTCCAACTTAGGGTGATCGCTTGCAACGTTCAAAGTTTTCCCCAAGCTTGCCTCTCCCCAAACACCACGGAATAGCTTGTCCAGTTGTGAACTTCATACAGATAGGCTCAATCACACACATCCTTTCAGCTTTTGCTCCACACGTTGTGCTCAAAGTTCATCCACACTGTTGCATGCAGCCATGGTTCCTTCATCATCATGGCAGCTGGCCCCTTTGCCTACTTTGGTGCCCTAATTCTCAGTTTGCAAGAAGCCAAGACTGCGGGAGCCCAGAGTTCTTGCTTGCCTGCACCAGCCAGGGGTGCCCAGCCTGCCACAGGCTCTGGGGCTTTGCCTGGACTCGCTTTTCTCCAGATGGCCACCTGCAGGGACAGGCGAGGACAAAGAGCAGAGTGCTCCCAACTGTCTCTGCAAAGCTTTGCATGGGGACACAACCCCAGGCTCTGAGCTGCTTGCCCCAGCCTCAATGCAGATGACTGATGAGGACAGTAATCTATGACTGCTCTGCCAGCTCCGAAACCAGCTGGGCACTGGGACCAAGCAATAAACCGGGCACATCCCAAATGAGAAGCAGGTGGCTTCTTAGGACCATATTTCTCAACATCCTGCCCTTATGGTTTGCCCTTTATCCAATGTGGTTCCCATTTGAAGGAGCCTATAACTCATATGAAAAATGATAGAAATTACAGCTCGCCATCCCAGCCTAGCTGTTTAGGATACTGGAAGAAACATTAAGGCAGGGCTGCCATGATTATAAGGTAGAGGCACTAGGGAGAGGTGGGGGGAGCCAGGCAACCCCCCAACATGCCTTTCCCTGCTCCCTTCTGCATGCAGAGTAGCCAGTTCACTTCTCCAAGGTACCTTTGAAAACGTGGCTCATGACCAGGTGCAGTGGCTCATGCCTGTAACCCCAGCACTTTGGGAGGCCAAGGCGGGCAGATCACTTGAGGTCAGGAGATCGACACCAGCCTGACCAACGTGGTGAAACCCCGTCTCTACTAAAAATACAAAAAAATTAGCCAGGCTTGTTGGCGCATGCCTGTAATCCAAGCTACTCGGGAGGCTGAGGCAGAATGGCTTGAACGTGAAGGCAGAGTTTGCAGTGAGCTGAGATTGTGCCACTGCACTCCAGCCTGGGTGACAGAGTGAGACTCTGTCTCAAAAAAAAAAAAAAAAAAGGAAAGAAAATGTGGCTCAGTAGGAATTAGTGAGGTGGGCGCCAAAGTGCTCATCCAGTCTGGGGAGGACCCAGATTTCTGCCCCATTTTTTCCTTCCATCAGTCCCCACATTCAGGCCAAGCTAGGTCCCACCTCCAAGTACTACCCATGCTGCCTGAATGTCCTCTCACCTACCAAGGTTTGCCCTTCCCAGGCCCCAGGAGCTGCTCTAATTCTTCGTGGACTATTCCTGGGTGGTTGGTTCAGAAACCCACTGATGTCCTGCCCCCAAACGCCTGGCATTTCTCCTCTTCTGAACCACACCAATTAGCCTTGATTACAGAATGCACGCATTGTTCTCTAACAGTTTCATATGTGCAAGCCCCAAATCCCCAGATGGGGAGGGTGCGTGGATGGTGGGGGTGGAGCTAAGCCAAGCCTCTGCTCCTCTCTGGGCCTCAGTTTTTCCATCTCTGAAAGGAGGAGATGGCACAGAGACTCCATAAGCCCCCTTCCCCACAACCTGAAATGCTTTGGCCTGGTTCTCTGGTCTTCAGGAAAGATAAGTGATGATTGGCTGTCCTCCCACACTCAGCCTCCACCCTTGGGCCCCGTGCCAGGAAACCTGCTCCCACCAACCTCCGCTCAAGGTCGCAGCCCTTGGCCTCCACCCCCAGCCCTACCCCCTGCCACTGAAAGGCAGCATTGGGGCAAACATCCTAAACCACCGAATGCTTCTAAAAATACGGTGTTTTTGTCAGAGAGCAACCTTCTACTTCCTTCAGGCTTTGATCTCCATGCAACCCACAGAGGAGAAGACACACTTACAATAACAGTTTAAAGCCTTCATCTTCCTTTGGGGTCTACCTCTCAAGGATTCTGAATCCCCAGCTGGGTGGTGGTAACCTGTGGTCCTTCTGAGCATGCTCAGATCCAACTGCAGTGGCTCAGAGACTTCACACAGCTGGTCCCACCCCAATCTATGGTCAGGAAGAAAAGTCCAAAACAGAGAGGCTGCCAGGGCACAAACTGGCCACGGAACACTATGCAAGTTTATAATGCCCTTTACTATCTGCACTCTAAGGAGAAAAATTAATGCTATAGGGTAGGGCAGAATAAAATCAGTGCTCAAGCACAGAAATGGGCTGTGAAAAGGAACGGAGGGTCTAACTCTAGCACAGTCCCTGGACAGCACAGACAACAAGTATTTGTTGAAGTTTTCATAAAGATTAAGAAATAGAGCATGTCTTGTCCCCTGGAAATGCTCCCTGTCCCACCCACATCCTTCCCCCTTCCTCACTGAAGGTTACCACTATTCCAACGTAGGGTAACCACTTAGAACTTTCCAAGTTTTCCCCCACCTTGCCTCTCCCCTGACACCACAGAATCTTTATGCATCGTCAGATCAGATCTGACTGGGCAGATGGGGAAAGTTCTTCACACAACCTTGTGAACTGGACATTGGAAGGATGTTGATCGATGGGGACAGAGAAGTAAAGGGAGTTCCTGGCAAAGGGAACAGCATGGGCAAAGACCGGGCCACACTGAACAAGAAAAGCACAAATGCACACCATATTTGGCAGAAATAGAAGTATGGAAACTCTCCCACTAGGTCTGCAGACACACGAGCTCTTGTTGCCCTGCTGGAAACACAGGTACAAGCAGAAAAAACAGAGACAGTGATAAAAGGATCATCTATAAACACCGACTGTGTACCAGGCACCGTTCTAAGCACTGACCACATGGGTCCTGGCAACAGAACGGAGTTGTCATTGTCCACATTTTTCCTGGAGGGAAACAGAGCCTCAGAGAGGGGACGTTCTTTGGCCCCAGATTAGTGACAGAGCCAGATCTGAAACCATGCAACCCAGCTCCTGATGAATAAGCCCACGCAGGCTGCACTCGAGCCTTCATGCAGGCTGGGTGTGTGCTTGATAAGTCAGATCCTGGCCTTCCTGCTTCAGCAGGTGTCCAGGGAATAACCCCAGTGCCATGTACTCAGGTCTCCTTTGCACCATTCTCTGCTCATTGCTTCATTTAGTCTCCCAGCAACCCTTGAACTAAGTCCTGATGTTTGTTATCAAAACCAGATGAGGAACCAAGACTCATTGTGATTAACTCACATAGTTACTAAGTGGTAGAGTGGGGATCTGAACCCAGATCCCTCTAATCCCAAATCCTGTGCCCCTAACTTCTGTATTCTAAGGCCTCTCTAAATATCACCCCCTGCCTGGGAATTCCAGACTGTGAGTAATTCAAACATGTCTGAAAAAGTCAAAATCACTATAATTTCCTAAAGACTTTAATAGAGGCAGAACATCTCACTTCAAAACAAAAAAATTATCAGCAAAACTGCCAAGGGGGCTCTGAGTCACTGTCTTGGGCTTCTCCTTGTTTTGGAGAGGGAGGTGTGTGGAAGAGCTCCAGGGCACAGGCCAGCCTTGAAAGAATAAGGGTGGGGTCCTGGCTTTGTCCTTCATGTGCTGTTGAATCCTGGGGTAATGTCTTGACATTTCTGGATTCATTAAATTAGCCGGGCGTGGTGGTGGACACCTGTAATCCCAGCTACTCCGGAGGCTGAGGCAGGAGAATCGCTTGAACCTGGGAGGCAGAGGTTTGCCGTGAGCTGAGATCGTGCCACTGCACTCCAGCCCAGGCAACAGTGCAAGACTCTGTCTCAAAAAAAAAAAAAAAAGATGTGTTGGTTTCCCTGGGTGACCTCTGACACTGATTCTGAAATCACTGGTGTCAGATTACCCCAAAACCCCAGCGATCCCCTACACAGAAGGAACAAAAGTACTATACTTATAGGATTGACACACAGTTCAGTAAATTCACTGCTAGGGCTTAGGTTACTATAGATTTGCACGCAAGTCTTCCCTCTCCATTGCACCCCTTGCCACTTCTCAGGGACCAGTG